CGGCACAGATGTAGTACTATGTGACGAGCTCTGTCGTCTGATTAAGTAGGCGGAGAGAGAGAGAGAGAGAGAGAGAGAGAGAGAGAGAAAGAGAGACGGCGCAGATGTAGTACTATGTGACGAGCTCTGTCGTCTGATTAAGTAGGCGGAGAGAGAGAGAGAGAGAGAGAGAGAAAACCGTGCATTCTTCAAGCGATCGACATTGGATTTAAATGTGTTGGGTCTTTTGATAATACGTCGTCTGGTTATTACGGTATGAGGGAAGACATGCCGGAAGTTCGTTGAGGAATGTGTTTTTTTGTCTTATCGGCTCTGGGTTACCGCTTCTGGAATGTCTTAATGCGGCGTAAGGTCGAGATAAGCGTCTCGCTTACTTGTGGAAAAGTAGAGCGGTCAGCTGATAGTATATCGGTGCAATGTGAGAGGTGTTATGGGAAACTTGCCGGCGTCGGTTCTCCGAGCGTCCAGTACACGCGTGACCTTTCCAAGCCGCACGGTGCCATCGGCAAATCGCCAGTGTTTCCTGTATCTCGGTGGAGCAGTCGGGATTGTATAGTACTTGTAGTTGTGGAGTTCGAAAAGAGGATTGTGAAGGGCGCTGTTTGTTCTACTCGTATATGGTCAATACGATCTATTAAATTGATGAAGTTGTCCATTCGAATATGTATTTATATATTTATTGATGATGAAGATTTGTATTTATATTAATTAAGTCGTTATTATCAATCTTCTATTTTATTCTGTTGATTGAGGTTATTGGGAAAACTTGCGGTGAACTCCTTAGGAATCATGTGTCGAGGGAACTATCTTGAAAATTTCTCTTGACAGTGTGTGCGTCCTTTACATACCGGATCTGTGTGTGCGTGTGTAGATACCCGATCCGTGTGTGCGTGTGCAAAGTGTGTGTGCTCTGCACCATTTGTCTCGCACGTGCCTGCCTCGTACATCATATCATGACGACCATGATTGTAATGAGAAATGAAGATTTTCGGAAAACTACCTCCATCCCATCCCATTGACTGACTTTAGAGAGCATCGGGATCGCAGTTTTGAATGTTGTGAATATTACCTTGGGGCAATTCTCAGTCTAGATTCAGCGGCATTGACCGTACGTCTATTTCGGGGGGGAGGAGAGGGTAACCTTTACAGTGTCTCCCTCCGCCCCGCAGGACCCCCACGAGTTGGTTACTCACTCCTTGCGTATTCTGGAAAATTTGTTGTTCTAGTGGCCGTTGTGATTGTCTTACGAGATATCCAAGCTATGTGCAGGTACCGTATTTCAGTAACACAGCTTTTCCAGACGCAAGGAGTGATTGACCAACTCGTGGGGGCCATCCGTTCGATTTGGTCTGCTATGCTCGTTTTTCTGTGTATGGAGCGAATGTATATCGCTTGTGTACAATTTGGTCGTACGGAATGATGGTAAATGACTGGTAAATTATTTGTTGCACCATTTGGTCGTACGGAATGAATGGTAAGTGACCGGTAAATTAGTTGTTGCAGTTTGCTCGGCTTACAGGAGGAAAACAAAATTACGATAAGTGACGATGATTGGCACAATTTCTGATTTCGTGTCCGCGCGTAGCTCTGGATGTTGGATCTGTTTGTTCGCTTCGTTTCTCTCGTACTTCGGATGTGTACCGGAAGATACGACGTTTCGATAGCTACCTGCTTTTCAAAACGTGTGTACTCTCCATCTTTTTCCCCCTCCCCACCTCCCAATCGCCGCTTCCTCCCCTTCCAAACTAACCTATGGTTATAGCTGTAGTCTGTATAGTTTGTGTGAATCTGAGTGCGTGTGTGAAAGGCTCTTTTTAGTTTTTTATCTCCTAATTACCCCCTTTGACTACTTGAATTTGAGCGAACGGGGTGCGTTTTCGAAAGTAGGCAACGAATTCCCCCATTAATGACCAATTGTCGCCTGTGTGCTATCTACTTTTTTGGTAATTCTATCTACCTGGTCTACCGCTGTAAATTGAGCGACTAATTACCCCCCTGTAAATTTGATGAAAATGCGGTACCAGATCGCCTCTCCAGGGTGCGTTTTCGAAAGAAGGCATCGAATTCCCCCGTTAATGACCAATGTCGCCTGTGTGCTATCTATTTTTTCGGTAATTCTATCGACCTGGTTTATCGCTGTAAATTGAGCAACTAATTAGCCCCTGTAAATTTGATGAAAATGCGGTACCAGATCGCCTTTCCATGGTTACCATTGGATAAAGCTTGCAAAGCCGAAGCTACACTTCCGGTGTTTGGTCAAAATCTAGGTGAATTGGGATGTTGGATTGTTTAAAAAATATCTTGCCTGTGACCTGTGTTGTACACGTGCTGAACTCTCTCTCTCTCTCTCTCTCTCTCTCTTTCTCTATGTCGTCTCAAGATTTGGGACACTGCAGGGCAGGAACGATTCCAAAGTCTCGGTGTCGCCTTTTATCGTGGAGCGGATTGCTGCGTGTTGGTATATGACGTCAACGTCAATAAGACTTTTGACAGCTTGGACAACTGGCGAGACGAGTTCCTTATCCAGGTGAGGGAGTAGTCATCCAATGCCCTGCCCTCCCCTCCCCCCTCCTAGTTGCCAGCTAGTGTGCCCTGCTAAGTTGCCACGAATTCGCCGTGAGAGAAGGGCGAATGCTCAGGATTCTGCAGAGGTGGTATGGTCCTCACCTGTATTTGTGCCAATTTCAGTCTAAACACGGCTATAGTGACTGCACAGAATTGTATAAAGGTACGGTCTTTTTCACCCGAATAGAACGACCCGTTGTTGTTGCTGGAATTGTTGGCCAGTTCAGTCTGGATGCACTGCTATAATGACTGCACAGGGTTGTGTGTGTAAAGGTACTACCGTCTTCACACGAATAGAATGTCCGGTCGTTATAGAGTCGTGGACTTCAGGAAATGTACTGGTCACTACAGGAGCGCCCAAATTCATCATGAGCTGAATCCCGTCGTAGTTGTGGCAAGATCAGTCTGGATGCAGCTTTAAACAACCAGCACTTCCCAGAGTCCTGCCCGTTAGCGCGCCACGACTTTAGGAAATGTACTGGTCACTACAGGAGCCCCCAAATTCATCCGACTAGAAACGTTTCTACTCTATTTTTTCTCGCGGCCGATAGCTGGGCCAAGTACTGGTGGTTTACTGGGCGTTCTATTCGGGCGGCAAAGAAACGATTATAAGATCCTCTCGCCCTTGTGGGAGGTTTGGAAGGGTTGGCCGTTTTTTGAAATTTTTTTGACCCCTGGAAGCGGTTGCCAGTGTGATAGATAGGGTGAAGAATCGATTTCGTTTTGTTTTCCCCTTTTTTCTTATTTTTTGTGCGACTCACGGTAGACACCGCAATTTGCTGCTGCTCTCTTGATCGTAAAGGAACCGTTTCCCTACTCTTTTTTTTAATCTTGTGTGGTGCTCTTCTTGCCATCCAAGAGCGCCATCCAATCCAATACGCAGCTAGGTTCTCGCCCTTTCGAAGGTGGTGAAGGACTCTGACAATCCGCGAAAGCTTTGCCTATTCAAAGGAATGATTTCCTTGCGTACTCTCGTCTTGCACTCCGATAATTGTTGCTAGAGAATTCTTCTCTCGACTCTGTGTGCGTTGACTCTGTTGTCCCGGTGCCAGTTTGCTTTCCTTTTGGGCTTGCTTATACTTACTGCAACTAGTAGAACTCGTGGTCAGGGAGGATTCTGTGGAACCATGTGCAGTCACCTGTTTGCTTTTGGCCATGCTGCTTTTGATTCCTCTAGTGATCTTCTCTCTTGTGTTCCCTCGTTGTTGGGACTCCTCTGATTGTCTCTTTTCTGTCCCCTCGTTGTTGGGACTGTTTTCTCTTTCCCTGCTTTTTCCTGTTGCTGGTCTCGAAAGACTGCCAGTACCTTCTGAACTGCCAAGAAATGTGGCTTGAAAGAGCGAGCTGGGAGTACACGGCCCCAGCGAAAGACTGCCAGTACCTTCTGAACTGCCAAGAAATGTGGCTTGAAAGAGCGAGCTGGGAGTACACGGCCCCAGCTTTGCGAGATCTCTTCATGTCCTACTGCTTAAATTTCGGAGGCTCAAACGTACCGGAGCACAATGGCTGTGGCTCTGCCAGCCAAAAAAGAGAAAAAGCACAGCACTGGCGGTTTGGGAAAACTTGGTGCGTAGTGTGGTGCTGCCAGGCCCCAGAATACTGGTGGTTTAAGACATGAGATGCATGACCGACGAGTGTTCGAGGCCCGTGTTCACAACAAGCGCTGTTTTTCCCTGCCTCCCCTCTCTCCCCTGTCCAGAGCATTCCCTTTTTTGATGCATTACTTTCTGAGTGCAGGTTTTGTGATTCGTGCAATGCCCGAACAGGATAGACTTCTCTATTGTTGGAACCTAATCTACCTGCATGTGGCAGATGTTGGCAACTGTCCTCTTACTCACTTACGAGACGACCTTTGTTGAAGTGTGTTCTCGCACTGAAGCTGGGGCCGTGTTTCGTTCTCGTCGTTGTCTCCTCGTCATGTCTTATTGTCGTCGTCACCTCATCACGTCCTATCATTGTTGTCTCCCCATCCCGGTGGCTGATGCCTGACCAGTGTGTTGCTGTTATGCCCTGGCCGTTCTGGTGTGTTCCATGGCGTTCTGGTGATAAGTCAGTAGAAGGCAATGCTTGGATGGCTGAATGAATGCGTGATTGCATGGGCATGTGTGCAGGGACCACACGGTGAAAGTCCGACGAAACAGTCTGGTACAGTCTTGCTTTTTTTGAGTGTATAGCGAATATGACAACACGCACACACACACACACACCCACAAACACACACCCACACACAGATAGATATAGATATGTGATGATATAGTCGGTGAAACTCCGACGAAACAGTTTGTCACAGCCCCTCGTTTGTTGTCCTCTTCTCCCTCTCTGCCTACGGTTTACCGGGCAGTTCTATTTGACGATATATACGCAAGAGGTTGTAAGAGAAGATTAAAAAAACGAATTATTTTTTATTTTTTCTTGTTTTCTTCTGTTTTTTTTTGCCTTTGCGCTCTGAAATTCATGTGACGATATGCTTACGATGATGTCGAATAGGAATACCAACTTCTTGATGACGAACAAGGCCATCTGCTGTGTATAGATATGTATCTTGGACTTTTTTTAATTTCTTTGCAGACAAGAATGTTTTGACATCCTGGTTGGTCTTGTCCCGTCGTCTGGCCTGTGGGCAGGGGCGGTGCTTGCAAGCCGGACTTGTCATCTGGGGCTGCTTTGTTGCCGCCTGTTCTGTTTTATTTGGCTGTTCCCTTCCTCTTTTCTTTGCCTCTTTGCCTTTTGGCTGCGTGCAAGTGGGTCGATACGACACACGGAGGTGGGGGCAGCCGCCGCTCAACCTACATCCACGTGGGTGGCCTTGTACGCAAGAGGTTCTGAACAGGGGGAGTTGTAAAGAAGACGATAAAAAAATGAATTCATTTTTTCTTGGTTTTCTTTGCTTTTGCGCTCTGATATCTTGTGACAAGAGAGAGAGAGAGAGAGAGAGAGAGAGAGAGAGAGAGAGAGAGAGAGAGAGAGAGATGGGCGGACAAATGGGAGCACACGACCCACAGGCTGGTGCTATTGCCTCTGGGTGCTTTCTGCAACATGCAGAATAAAGCCAGGCAGCAGTGCCACCCATTGTTTTAAGTGGATCAACCCTTTGGGTGACCTGTGAACATTGGTGATTGAGGTCTCGAAATGTCTGCCCCACTGTTGTATTCTGAGTGGTCGAGGATGAGTGCTGAGCCGGTTTGGGTGCAGTGCTGTGACGTTGTGTTGAGGACAAAATTTGGGAGCAGTGACGGCTGTAAGCCTGGTTTCGTTTCAAGGCACAGAGGTGAAAATAATACAACCCCCCACTTTGCTTTGTCCAATTCTCCTCAATCAATCAGTGAGAACTTGAGACTGAGAGACCGAAGGAGCTAGCAACTCGAGCCAATGGAGCGGTAAAAATGGTAGAAGCGATACGGAATGGTTGGACTAGTCTTGCAGCCGTCAAGTCACGAGTATCCTGCTCGATGTATGGCAAGTGGAGAGAAGTTTCCGGTTTGAAGTCTAAACTTGAGTGCACTTTCCATCACACTTGACAGTCAGACATTGAATAATAAAGTGTCAGAGACTCGGGAGGAGCTTTTTGCCATGGCCAGCAATCAGTTATTTGTACAGTCCTTCAGTCTCTCTTCCATAGTCTAATTCTGTCATTATCGGTGGTGCTCTTCTCCTCCGCGGCCACAGCTGCGGCTGTGTAGCACTTGGCTCGTGGCTTCAGTGGGCCGGTGGCAACCAAGGGACATGTATGAACTGAGGCAGTGATTGCCAAAGCATTGTTAATGTTTTCCAGAGTCTAGCTGTCTCAGAGGTGGTTGGCTGTCCCTCACTTCAATCAGAGGGGCTGCATGTGTGTTCACGACATATTTGGCCAGCAGATGGTAGCTGGCCTGCAGGATCTGATCTGGTACTTTCCAGAGCTTGGCTATGGTTTGCCGAGTTCCCTTCTGGGTTACTACTAAGGGCTGAGGCTGTTGTTTATAACCAATGCCAGAGTTTCTGAGGGGAGTTTTGTCGACATTTGTTGTTGGACCCTTATGTCTCCAGCTTTGCTGACAAGGTACTTTGGCCCATGTGGCCCAAGGTCGAGATCCTTGAGCGTGTATTCACGAGCGTCGTTGCCCCTGCCTTACCTGCTGCTATACGGAGGGGCTATTATTACCTGGGCTACTGAGAGTGCCCGAGACCCTGAGTTTTGCCCAGAGGCAGTTTCGAGTGGAATCATCAATCGTCGAAGTTTGGTTGCAGTTCAGATCAGTGTGCAACAGTGTCTACTGCTGTTGCTGTTTCTGTCTCTGTGTGGAGACCTATCTTACTGACAACGTGTGCGGCTTGTGCCAGCTCATGGAGACTCTGAAGCGCCCTCCGTGCCTGTTCTCTTGAGATTCGAAATCATTCTTGTGGCTGGGACTGCTTGTTTGAGCTCTCTGGTCCATCAACTTGCGGGAGTTTAAGTTAGTTTGAGGAGAATGCAGATGATGCTCTGAACAGCATTTGCAATTGCGGCATTTTTGGGGTTAATGTAGTGCTGATACGACTTTCTTTGACTACTGGTGGTGTGCAGGCGAGTCCGTCAGATCCTGAGAACTTCCCATTTGTAGTGCTGGGCAATAAGGTGGACGTGGACATGGGCCACAGCCGTGTGGTGAGTGCCATATCTTTGCACTTTTTCCAGATGTATTTTCGTCTGGGTATTGCCTTTGCATATGTTTTCCTACTCGCAATTGCTGGAGCTTTTCGTTGCGTCTCCGTTACGTTTCACTTCCCATCTCCTGGGTTCTGGAGTCGGTTTGCAGGAGTGGTGCCTTTTGAAAGTTAATTGCTTCTGTACTTCAGGTTCATCACATCCAATGTAACTTGTGATATATTTCAATGTTGACTTATCCAACAACAGGTGGTGGAAGTGCTAGTTTTGGTATGTTAGGAGACATGTTATCATAGCTGAACCTAAAGCATATATTGCATTTGCTGTTGATTGCAGAAAAAAGAGTGATAGAGCAAACTTTAAGACATGGTGTGTTGGTTCCTGATGGTTTTCAAGCGCTTGAGCGAACTCGTGTGTTGGTTTGATGATGAAAACTTTTGTATATTGCGGCCGACCATGTGTTTGTGTACAGGTCTCTGAAAAGAAGGCAAAGGCATGGTGTGCATCTAAAGGGAACATTCCCTATTTCGAGACGTCGGCCAAGGAGGACTTAAATGTTGACAACGCCTTTCAGTGCATTGCGAAGAATGCATTGAAAAACGAGACAGAAGAGGAGATGTAAGTTCTATGCACCCGGAGCCAAGTTTGGTCACTCTCTCTTGACATGTTGTGTACCTGGTTTGGCCTCGCACCCCTTCAATGTACCTGCATTGCATGTGCATATTCTTGCCTCCACCTCCGCTGACTTCCTCCCATTCCTACTCTCTTGTATCGAGTGATCACTGCTGCTGTCTTGCTAGACACAATGTGCTTTAGAGATCGAGCCTGGTGCTTGTTCGCCCTGTAACAGAGAGCATGCATGTGTGTGCGTCTGAGTTGTCATGATATACAACTCCACAAAAAAAAGGATGACTGTGCCGGGCTGTTTTACAGATTGGACCTGTTGCTTGTCCGCCCTGCAACAAAGAGCATGTGCAGGGGTGTTTTTTTTTGTGGGGGGGGGATGTTGCAGCATCATTGCCTTCTCGAAGTGGAGGGAGTGGGTGGTTGGGTGATTGGGATGTTGCAGAATTGCCTTCTTGAGCATTTGGAGGGACAAGGCACTGAATGTCCTCTCAGGGTGTTGTGATATCGCATGCATTTTGTGGCTCTTGCTTGTTGGATGACCTGAAACATCCCAGCTCGTGAACGGTAGAGTTTAGCCTGCATGACATTCTGTGCTGGTTATTGAACAGGAGAAATGTGTTGTTATTAAACGCGCACCCCCCCCCCCCCCCCCACACACACACACACACACACACACACACAGAGTGAGAGAGAGCTGATAAGTGGCGTTAGAGGTGCTGATACAAGTTCTTTGTTTGTGTTTTGCAGCTACTTGCCTGATCTGGTCGATGTGAATGGCCAGAGGCCGCAGAAGTCCTCTGCTTGTGAATGCTAAGCTTAGGTTTTATATGACGAAGAGGACCTATATTCAAGGAATATGGCCGGCAAGAGAAAGGTCTGTGACAGATATTCTGGCCTTGGAGGGAGTGGGCAAGAGATCTGATGGTGGTTTATCTGGAGAGACATCTTTAGCGCTGTGGAGAAGCTTCTCCTCGGCAGCATAATCCACCATGTAATACGTGTTGTCTTACTTTCATAACTAGCTTTGGGATTTTATATCGCACCGCACCAATCTAGTGTGGTGTCCCCACAGAGAGAGATATGATGGGGATTGGTTCAAGTGCGTGGTGGTGCTGGTGGTGTGTGCTGTAGCACTTGAACTTACTGTAACTAATCGATATGTTGTCTTTTCTTGCTGTGAATATGTGCTTAGCTCGACTCCGTTTCTCTCGTCTGTCTTCTTTTATTAGTCTCCCTCTCTCTGTAGGACTGCTCGAGGTTTGGTTGGACTTTCGATATTCTGCCAGCTGTTTCTTCCATCGGACTATAGGTAAGTTTCCACAGGAGTCTAAGCTTCCGTCTATTCATTAATTTGGGAGCCACTGCTTGATTTTGCTACCTTTTACGTTTACAGTACATCTCTCTCTCTCTCTCTCTCTCTCTCTCTCTCTCTCTCTCTCTCTCTCTCTCTCTCTCTCTCTCTCTCTCTCTCTCTCTCTCTCTTTTGCACCGTGATCGCTGGCATCTTCTAAGGTGTGCTGGGGAAGGGAGAGTCTTTGGAGCTATTTCACTGTGCAGAGCTACTGCACTGCAATGCAGCATGATGCATTGATCATGCGGGCACGGAGTTGTCGGCAGCCAATGGCATCGGTGGTGTAGGAGCTGAGAGGGACTTCCGTGCAATTACGGAAGTGCAATCTTGCACGCGGGTTGTCCGTCTGCACTTCCGCTAGGGGAAAGATCTAGGCTGGTTGTGTGGCGGATGAGCAAGCACAGTTGCAAGGGCATGGAATAATTTGGAAGCCTTGCTTATGGAGTTCTTCATTTGTGGTGGCGGCAGTTTGATCTTTTGATTTTTTGTGTTTAAACGTCGAATGCATGTGGCAATGGTGGGTGCAATCCACTCTTGTCGCCATTAGAATATACAACAACAGCTGAAAGATGATGGCATGGATTCTATTTTTAGAAGATATGAACCTGTCAACTCTTTGTTTCAAGATTGAGCAGATGGGTGTTCTTTTTTAGGGATGCTGGGCAATGCAGCTGGCCCTGTTGGTTTCCATGAAGTATATGTATTATATATGTATGGTCTAGACTCTCGAGTATATATGGCAGGAAACGGATAGAGCAAATAATTTTGTGTGCGGCTCGAGTAGAGGTTATCAGTGTTAGAAGGGACTGCGAGGGCATGCATCAGTTTGCTAGTTATGTTTCTTGTTTTTTTTTTCTGATTCTGAGTCATGTTTCATTTTTGCTTGAATATACACGTAATCGCGACATGGATACAAGTTATCTATATGTATGATCATTCCACACAACTCTGTCCAGGATTGATTGATTCTTTTGCGGATTTTTGAAGTTCCCTCCCTCCTTGGATTTTCTGTGGGGGCTGCCCTCCATCTTGCTCGAGCCTCTGCCCGAGCTAGGTTGTCCATTTGCGGTCCTGGGCCAAACCGGACCTTAACCCGGGCCACCTTGCTGGTCGAGCAGTAGGATTTGCAAAACACTTGTTGTTAAGCTATGGAATTAGTAGGGAAAAAAAGTGGAATAAAAGTTCGATGTCAACTCAACCACTCTGTGGTGAGCAAGAAGAATCGAACGGAGGTCGTGAGAGATGTTGGCATGTGGAATCTTGTGGCTATCGGTCAATCAGATTTGTAATGATACTAATGAACTCGTAGAAGATGTTGAAGTCTTCCCTCTCTGAAATGCGGAGGGTTGCGGAAGTGTCAAATGTGATCCGTGGAGGGCACGTTGGGACCTGGCGCGGGATGTTGGAACCGGTGGCTTGCTACTCCTCCCAGGGGGGAAAAGAGAGGTTGGTACTGCCCGTATGCATTGAAGTAGTATCCTTCAGCAACGTCTTTATGCCTTGTGGTGATCGAGTGTGTTTTGCGGTGCTGTTTGGAAACCATATCAGGGAAAGACGATAGTAGGTTGTGTAAAAGTTCATGTTAATTGCCTGACATGTTTATATGTTTTGCTGAAGGTTTTGTAGCAGTGCCTTCGATGTGACATTCTTGCGATCCATTCGACACTCCTGATTGCACTGGGACAACAAGACAAGTCAGGACTCAGACACACAGAGAAAACGTAACTCCAGCTGTGGAGAAGACAGATGATATGGAGATGGAAGCGCCATCATTATGGCAAATATTGGCATTTGAGCGGTAAACGCCTGACAATGTGCCTTAACATGTTATAACGGACTCCGCAAGCCACCAAGGCAGGGCACCACACAGCCTCTTTGCGAGTCGTGATCTCCAGCCTACATACATATGCCATGTGAGCAATTCTGAGCCTACACATACCAATGAGGGTGATTGTCCTAAGTTGTGGCCAGTGAGGTAGGATTAAGGGAGTATGGGTGCGCCAGGGAAAACTGTTGACAGGAGAGAAGGACTGGGTGCGGGAGAACCCCCCCCCAAAAAAACAGAAAAGCCTTAAACCACCAGTGCCTTTCTCATATGTGGGGCCGCGGGTCTCAAATTCAAGTTCGGCCGCTACGTGCTGTCGAAGAGAAATATCGTTGGTGGCATGGCGGCTATTTTTCAGGAGTGGGCTACTAGTTGCCCGCGGACGACGCATGGGAAAGGTAGTGGTGGTTTTAAGATTATAATTACACAAGACCCTTATCATCGCAGAATTGCAAATCAGCTGCGGCAGATCGAGTCCTTGTAAGAGCAGGATTTGATCCGGCACGTATTTTGTGATTCTATGATAGTAAGGGCCTACTAGTGCGAGTATGCTCTCGATCAGGTGACCACTGATCCTATGGAACAGGCCACTTTCATAACAACTTCAAGAAAATAAAGGAAGTTCAATAATGGATTGACGAGGTTTTGCATCGTATATGTATGACTATGAAAGGACCATCCAGCAGGTGCATCTCCCCATTTACCAAAAAGGGAACATCATCAACTGGCCTCGCCTCGCCACTATTGATTCTGTGATTTTCGGTAGTGGGGTCTGCCCAACCAACTCTGCATTGAAACTCGGAAAAAATAATTACCTCGCCCACACATTGGCCGCGGTCCCCTCACTGCGACTTTTATGAACCCCGGAAACGTGACAACGGTGCAGTCTGTGATTTTCGTTAGTGGGGTCCTCGCAACCAACTCTGCGTTGAAACTCGGAAAAATTAATTGAGAATCCTCGTAAAGATTTTTGTTTAAACCACCAGTACTTCGCCCACACATTGGCGGCCTCGGTCCCCTCACTGTGATTCCAGGAGGTCTGGAATGAGACAATGGGCCGCCAGTGATATTTATTAATGGCTGCTCGGCCCTGGAAGTTTTGGCGGTTACGACATTACTTGTGCAGCCTTAGGAGTAGTGGTAGGTAGGTAGTGAAAGACGCAAAGAAATCAGCCGAAGTGTGTAGTTAAAAAAAAGAAGTAAAAGAGTTTTAATGAAATGCCTGTTAAACAACGAGTACCATTCCCGTAGGTTGGAAAGAAGTAGAATCGTTTCCACCTGCATGAATTTGGACGCTCCAGCCCAAGGCCCGTTCCAGGGCCGTTCACGCGAGCGCGTTTGGCAGCAACTTCCGGAGGTGCTGATGGTTTATCCGCGCGTTCTGTCAGGATGTAATACGCACCACTGTCGGACATACAGGTCCACCTGGCTGATTGAGGATTTGGTTAGTGACAACGTACCCTCCATCACGACCTGAGCTTGTCGTTCCGCCGAACACGGTGGATTTGAACCGTTGGAGGCCTTGCACCGAAGTCCCCTTCTGTGGTTTTCTTCTCAAATTCGTTTGATATCTCTACTGAGCATGACCTTGAATAGGAGGTTAGCCTGGGACTGGGACTGGTTCCAGCACACCGTTTCCCTGGAACCGGGACTTCCATTCTTGGCCTTCTTCCGGAAGTATACCGTTGAGTATGTCGTAATGGGTAGTATCCATCGATGTGTCGTAACTGCTACCCTCAGATCTCTCTTTTCAGATATTGTCCTTGTTGAGATTTCCAACGGATGCATCACTTTGGGGGCGGAAACGAGAGCAGCATGTGTTTGATTGGGTTTCCACTCACATCTTTGTTGCTCCGAACCACATGACTTGGTTACAGTCGGAGCTCGCATCTTTGTGATAATTGCGAGCTCCGACTGTAACCACAACGGTAAGTGAAAGGTGAACTTCTCAGGATAAGAATTGCGTTAATCGCTCCTGCGGTCTTCGCCCGTGAATAACGCTCTGGCAATATATTCAAGTGCGAACTACTCACGTTTTTTTGAATAGAAGGCCCGTTGGAATAGAACATCCGGATGTTATTGTATTTAAATAGAAGACCTGGGTGTTATATTTGATCGTTCTGTAGGCAGAGTGCCTTGTACACGGGTTTTGACGGGCGGTGAAAAGGGGGTTTGAATTGTAAGGCAAATGCTTCAATTTGATTTTTTATATTTTTTTATTTCCAAAATCGTAAGGAATTCTGAAGTGAGCCTCAGCCAAAGTCGGTAGCTTTGCAATTTTGGATGGCATATCTGTTTTTAACTGAGTGAGGACGCTGCCCGGCCGGGCCTGCTCTGCCGGGGTAGGCCCGGGGGGGCCGCCCGGGTAAACCGGGCGGGACAAAAAACCATCCAGATTTTTTTTTTTTTGAAACCGGGGTTGTTCTTCGCTCGGCGAGAGGACCCTGAATCTGCAATAAAATTTTGGTTTTGGTGAGGGGAGAGGGGGGATGTCTGTGATGGGGCGCAGATGCATTTTTTTTTTATTTTATTTTTTTGTAATTAGTGTGTATACGAGAGAGAGAGAGAGAGAGAGAGAGAGAGAGAGAGAGAGAGAGAGAGAGAGAGAACGGATCCCCTTAACACGGATCAGACGGCCCATGCAGGCTATCTGAAGGGTCTTCGCAGACATGTAGCGCAGAGCCCCCCACCAAAATCGAGGCAGGCAGTGAATATAAAATAGAGTACGAGCTGGCCGAATATATATACTCAACATTCGAATTCAGGTCTGTGTTTCAGCAGTTATGGGTTGCTCACGTAGCTAGGCCCTGTTGGTCTCTGCACGTGACTCCTAGGGCTTGGCTGCACTACTCACGAAATATGCAAAATTAGAATGAATCTTCTGCAGAACGTGGAATAATAGGCCACCATATGTTTTGTCTTCTGTGCATTTGGTGAGTAAAGGCCCTTAGGGCCACTGCACGTATTCCTAAGAAAAGAAAATCCAGAAAAGAAAAGAAAAGCGAGAAAACAGAGAAAGTGGTCCATAACCGACATGCTCGGTCCTGAATTCGAATCCAGACTATATATTCTCTGGCCCCGCTCAGTGTGTCTCTGCATGACGTCGGGTCCTAGCTAATATGCTGTAGGGATCCTTCCAAAAATAGGCTGGACACAACTAGGACATTTTTGTGTTTGTACTTTTTTAATGCGCCGCATCACTTGTGCGTGCGTGCATGTGCGTGTGCCCCCCCCCCTCGCCCCCCTGCCCCCCTCTGTCTCTCCCTCTCTCTCTCTCTCTCGCACACACACACACACACAAAGGTGGTCCAAAATCCCCCGACAGGTGAGTGCGCTGGGGGCCCCCGGCCCCCAACCGGGTGTCCTGCCCGGCCAGGCCGCCCGGGACCTCCCTGGGCCCCTGCCGGTCACCCGGGCAGCCCGGATCCCCACTCAGGTTTTTACAGTTTTTTTTAATTTTTTTTTGTTTTTTTGGAATTCTTGGGCCTCACTGAAGTTGCCACCAATTTACCGAATACTACGATGCTTGGGTGTAATGGAAGAATATAACACATGTCAGCTGTTTATTCACATACAATGCCCGGACTCTTCTTCTTTTTTCTTTTCTGAAGATGGTAGGCTCACAGTATTTACATTTTGAATGTTCTCGCTCACCGATGGTAGTCTTCCTGCCAACCCCACCATGTGGGTTCGACTGACACTCTTTGTGTTTCTACCGCCCTAGCTGCAAAACGTTATTGAAGTCTCATTCTACGACTTTGGGGCGGTAGCGATCTTTACTCGAAGTCCACTTCCTGCTCCACTCCCAGTCTCTGTACCATTGTGCCTGGTATGAAATGACTAGCAGAAGGGAAATATATTTGAAAAACTCTCAAACTTGTGTCTCCCTCCCCGTTATGCTGCCTGCTTAGTAAAAGGCTTCAGCATCTATTGGCTTGGGTGTTTTGTATCCTCAAACAAATGGCCAAGGTGAACGCACTCTAGTATCGTAGGATTTCCCTTCGTTCCTCTCTAGCAACTTTTATAATTTGCACTGGCCTTTCCATCTACATCTGCAGCTGTCCAAGTTTGTCTCCG